TCCTATTTCCACTAGGCATAATCGCGGGCGGCAAATTTGAAGAGGCGAATGGTCTTTTCCCAGCGAGTCAACCCTATGGAGCTGTCAAAAGCATAACTGCTTAACACCATTGGCGAGTATTTTAGTTGTTGATTATTATTGACAATCGACACGCCACCAGGTTAATTTTGAGGTCTAAAAAAGTCCACCAACATCTGTAACTAGATTGACATACCCATTTTTTTCGCCATAACTTGCAAGTCGACATTATCCCAATTCGTGTCTACTTTATACATCCCCAATCAAGCCAATGCACTCCTATTGCTAATTAAATTTTTATAGTTTCTTCCAGATAGAATAAAAGAGCAGCAAGAAAAAATGAAGAAAGAAATGCTCGGGCAGCTGAAACAACTAGGAAACATGGTTCTAAAGCCCTTCGGACTCTCTACAGATAACTTCAAAGTCAAACAGGACCCTGATACCGGCGGATACTCAATAAACTTTGACCGCTGAACAAATAAATCACTTACAATCAGCTTCTTCCTTTATTTACATAGCCTGGAAGAAACAAACCCGACAGGACTTGCTCGTGGGCCAGCGAAAGTAATCTTAGCAGAGGATTAAACCGAATGGCCGACATGCGTGTCTAGCCCTATCAACTAAGCAACAGGCCACAGTATGGGGATTGCCTCTGGGCTGTAAACGCGAGTAATACTGGGCAAGCGACGGTCATAATGTCAATATAGATGTACCAATATTGATATCTCCCCCCTAAAGTGCGAAATATGGAGCCAAAACACGCCCGGACCACAGATTGAGAGGAACGGCTTGCAGTGCTGTTCATTGATATATTTATGGAAACGATGTAAAACAATTAAGCACCGATTTCAAGACGAGGGGAGTCCAGTTCATTGCCATTGATTAGGGGCCTTTCGTAGGCATCAGAGTCCTGCGATGAGCTGGATTTTCTCCGTTTACAACCGGAGCCCCTTTCCCGACGTCTGTATTGGGATGCTGATCTTGATTTTGCATGTCTTCTTCTGGGATTGTCTGCAGAAGAGTAAGACCTAGAAGAAAAACTTATGGGTAAAGATAGTCGGTGGTTAAGTGTCATATGAGAGTGGCTAACCTGGATCGAGAACAATCTCGATTATTGGTCCGGTCACGTGAGATGGAACGGGAACTCGAGCGACTAGATGACGAATGATCGCGTGAGTGCCTCCCGCTCGACCTACAGACAGACCGACTGCTTTCACTGCGTTGGCGATGGCTACGACTGCGCGAGCGGTCCGAGGTCGAGCGACGCCTGATGTCCCTTCGATTGTCACTGCGCTCCATTCTACCGTTCCGAATAGGCCTAGGGACTGAATGCGACCTGCCTCTGCGAGAACGAGATCTTGACCTAGACCTTGTACGTGACCTTGACTCCCGCCGTGCATGACGCCTTCTTTTCAAATCTAAATCACGACCACGACCTCGCTCCTGGGATCTATTCCTTTCATCACGATGTCTGGATCGTGACCTAGATTTGGACCTACGAAGCGGTCTTGACCTCCTTCTTCCGCGCCTCCGTCGGTTGCGTGGTTCGGATCTCGAGCCCGCTAGACGTAAAAGAGACTCTGGTATACGTTGTCTGGCTTCTTCCATAACCTCAACTAGTTCCTTCGCCTGAAACGAACATTTGCATGACAGGATAAACAAAAATTCAAGCATTCGCAATTACATGATATATGTTCATCCTATTTCGTTTAAGATGAAGAAGGATGGGTAGTAGAATTTTCCCACAACGATTAAAAGAGCCGATGTTTCCACTGAAGTTCACAGCCTCGCTTTCCCAAAAGTTGTTCTCATTAAGGGTGGACTGCAGTTTCTGCCGCGGATAGGTCTTATCAACACCATGACAGTGCAGCATAAATATGCTTGATAAGTTAGCCATTCAGCCACGGTAACCCCGCCAAAGAATGAAATATTGGAAAAGGCATGGCGCTCATTGAAATTTACATTTGCCTTGTAACCCAAACTCACAACAATGTGGCCGAGTGACTATCGTGACAAGTTAACATGCTGTGTTGTCACGGTTCGACTCCCATTGGGGGTGTCGAATAGACCTATGCAAGGTCGAAACTGAAGTCCACTACGATTTAGAACAACTTTAGAGAAAGCAATATTCAGTGCAAGCGTTAGCTCAATTCATATCAGTAAAAAAATTCGGCTACCACCCCTTCATCACCTTAAATCAAATAAGGTGAATACATCTTATATAACTTATTTACTGGTAGTCTCGAAACACTGTAATTACCTTATGGGGGTTTTCAGTAGTAAAAAAGGTGTATGCCGTTCCTTTCTTATCGCTCCTTCCTGTTCTCCCGATCCGGTGTATGTAATCCTCCGTCTGAGATGGATAATCGTAATTTATCACGTACTGGATATCATCAATATCTGCAAAAGGAATGGGTAGACCATAAAGAAAAAATCTACAAATTGCTCGAAATCCCTAATAAATCCTAGAAGCCTTGATGGAGCCTTCACTTCTTAAGGGCACAAAGCAGATACCAAAGGACGATGGGGAGGTCACACCGTACCGATAGTCTCATGGGGAGCTTACGTGCGGATTAGGCCGCACCCTCCCTACGCGCCGGTGCCAACGACGTGAGGCTGTGGATAAGTCGCCGATTTTGAGTGAAAGCAGCGCTAAGAGTGGCTGCAGAAGAGACCGATGGCGCCAAACGAGCTCGCCACTCGATGGTGGCGTGAAATGATCGCATATCCCCAACAATGATGGAACGCAGCAATAAACGAAGCTGCATGCCTTTGATGGCGGAGGTCATGCGGCACTGGCACGGCAGAAACGGAAATGAGCCACGGGCAGGTACGAGACTTCTTAGTAGAAGTAGGGCCCGTGTGCGGGGCCAGGACGTTCTCTGACCCCTTGGCGAACTGCATACGAGGCATCTAGAACAACTGGCCCAGCGATGAGCACAGAAGACTAGAGAAGTCATTAAACTGGATACTGGTGGCCGAAACTCCAGCCTCGAAAGTCCACGTCGCCTACCGCTAATGCAGGCGATGGCATGGCCGCAGACTGGGCTGGTGTAACGACGCCCGTGCTTGGTTGACCCGGCACCAGCGCCAAGTTGTTTTCATTCTGAGTGAGCGTACACAGGTTCGTAGGCAGGTGAGCGGAAGCAAGACATGTTAAGCACGAAAATGAGAAGATATATACATTAAAGTAAAAATGGAAGGTATCACACACCCAGACCTCTGGAGGCGATGTCAGTTGCGACAAGGATAGTGATGCGTCCACTGCGGAATCCTACAGAAAATAATGATAAAATCGACTTACGGTCCAGGACATGTTCTCGCTCACGTTGAGGCTTATCCCCGTGCATTGCTGCAGCAGAAAATCCGCGATCTAGAAGTCTTTCGCAGAGGTCATCAGTTCTCCGTTTAGTTTCAGTGAAGATAATTATCCTTTCCCTACTAAATGACTTCAAAAGTTCAATCAGACGTCGGGGTTTTTCAGACTCCTGAAGAACTTCTACTACTTGTTTTATGTTATGATTAGCATGTAGTTTGGAAGACCCTATATTTATTTGTATATAATCGGTCAAAAAGTCATTCGCGAGAGCCCTGACTTCTTTCGGCCAAGTTGCGGACCACATCAGCGTCTGTCTATCAGGTCTCACCTGGGAAATTATTCGTCTGATTGAGGGCTCAAATCCCATATCCAGCATCCTGTCAGCCTCATCAAGAACAAGATAAGTGCATCTTCGGAGATTGGTATTGCCACCTTCAAGAAAATCGAGGAGGCGGCCAGGCGTTGCTATCACAACCTCAGGATATTTCTGCAGCCGTCTTAACTGCAGAGATCTTGGCGCACCACCATAGCAGCACGCGATATGGATCTTTGAATTCGCACAAAACTCCTCGGAAACACTTTCGACTTGCTGGGCGAGCTCTCGAGTTGGAACCAGTACTAGAGCGATTGGTCCATCGCCGGGCTTCATCGATGGCTGGGCCCTTATGTGTATAAGAGCAGGTATAAGGAAGCTTGCTGTCTTGCCTGAACCAGTTTGTGCAATACCCACCATGTCGCGTCCGCTCATAGCCAAAGGGAGACCCTGAGCTTGGATGGAAGTAGGTCTTTCCCACTTATTCTGATTGATGATGTCAACAATATAGCTGGGAAAACCCGCCTCAGAAAATTTAAATATGGGGCGGGGTACGCCATCTCCGAGTATAGTTATTTTATGTTTCCTTCTGAAATCATCTATCTCACGAGTAGAGCGTCTTCTAACAGCGGATGATTCGCGATAAAACTTTTTTTCGAATTTGACGAGGCTATACCTATCCCATTCAACATCCCGTATATGAAGGCCCGGAGAGTCTCTCCGCCTACCCCTAAAGCAAAAAATTCACTATATTGGAACGAGAAAATGGAAAGTAAAAGTGAGGCAAAAGATAAAATACCTTGGGGAACGCATAAGAAGAGAAAGGAGATAAAGAAAGAATATGAAGGGGGACCGAGCTAAACAACTCAGTATGTATGTAAAAAATATGACATAAAAGATTTTGCAGATTAATTTAAGATTTAATTTTTTTAAATGCATGGATGGATTTTTTTAAAATGTACTTTAATGTAACAACTTGATGAGAAAATCAAGTGAAGTTGAGCTAATAGTATAAATAAATAGTCTAAAGAATTTAATAGTGTACAGGTAGCCCGATGCATCCTTATTACGAATAATCTTGCAAGTATATTGGATCTTATTTTTCTTGAAAATAGCATAATCATAATTATGCAAATCAGTTGTATGGGAGGTAGATTAAGCTTTAAATAACTTGTATATACTTAAATTTGTGGATTACTGTGGTGGATCGTGATGAAATCATTTATTTTAAGTAGCTATATCTTCAATAGAGTATGTTACTAACTATTTTTACAGGTTACTAACACAGATTATCTACTCTGAGACTCGATGAATCCTGATTATACTTTCTTCCAAATATATCCTTAATAGATGGACAGAAATTATGCATAATTTAATATGCATGTCTGTAATTTTAATAGAAAAATGACATAAATAGTAGTGTTTATTCAGAATCTTGCAGGAGAACTTCAGCTAAAAGTAGCCAAAATAGTTCCAAATATGACAGAAAGAACGCATATGTTTGACTAATAACAATGTGGGAAATAGCGAATAAAGAATATATGAAGGAAAAGCTTTTCAGTCTTCAAGTTAAACTGTGCCTAAATGAATATGTTGGAGAGACATGACGGCCTATTCAACAAAGATTAGGGGAACCCAAAATGCTTATAAAAGAAGCTGAGTCCAATGGCCAGAAGTGACTGAACACATGACAAAGACTG